AGCAAGTAGGAGTTGGGAGGTGATTGCACCTCTGTATACAGCAGTAATGAGACCGATACTGGAATACTGCATGCAGACGGTTCTGGTGGCCACATTTTAAAATGGATATTGAAGTACTGGCGTGTGCAGAAAGGAGCCACAAAAATGATTGGTGGGCTGGAGAAAATTCCTTACAGTGAGAAACCTGAAGAGCTCAATCTGTTTAGTTTATCAAAAAGTAGATTGAGGGGTGACTTGATTATAGTGTATGAGTACTTCCCAGGGAGAAAATACCAGGTACTACAGTGCTCTTTAATCTAGTCGACGAAGGCATAGTAATAACACCTCTGACAGGATACTGGGCTGGATGGACCTTTGGTCTGACCCAGTATGGCCGTTCTTATGTTCTTAAGCAACCTAGCTAAGCTCATGAGGAAATTGATAATTCTGTCTTCATAGCAGGATTTGAATAGTGTGAGGAAACTAAACAGACTAGTGAATAGCTGCTTATTAAATGAGCACCCTCCAGCCTGTGCACTGATTGAGGTGGGTGTCTTGTAGAAACAACAGTAGGAACTCATGTAGTTAAAGACTGTATCATAATGCATACATGCAAAGCGTGTGGGGGGGCTGCATAGCATCCCACTCTCACCTCAGTAGGGACCCTGGACATTCTGCGCATTCAAGCAAAAGAAGCGTGTCAGAATTCTGCCTTTAGGGTTTGGTTGCATATTGAGATTTTAAAATTTTTTAAAATTCGGAAGTGTCCAGCTGAAATAAAAAGGACATAGGCTTGTAATTGTCCCAGGGATGTTTATCCCTGCCTCTTATCCTTATGGTCTTCTCACTTGATCTGCTATCGGATGTAAATAAAAGTAACCTCTGAATGACATAAAACTGGAATAATAAATCCTTGCCACTCTCCCTTCAGTTTACTACTTAAGTGTTTATAGGATGAGTGAAAGGCAGAGAAGAAGCTAAAGAGCATTAGAGATCATGACCTAATATGTGTGAGATAAGTTGTCTTTTCGGTGGGTTTTTTTTATTATTATGTTGGGTGGAGGTTACAAAACCTTAACCATAAGGACTGGTGGTAGAATTATTTACAGCATTGATAACTCTCACATTATTTGGTGTTTTCCTTAACGCTCCAGTTCCTGGAGTCATGTGACTCTATGAGACATTAAACTTTTACTTTTAAAATGAAAAAGTTTCTAATCCTCAAAGTTACAACGAAAAGCTTGAAAGTGTGAGGCTTAAAGACACAAAAACCCAAAGGCAAATGAAAAGAATGCAAAACTTATTACTTTAAAATCCGCTGAGGTTTTTTTAAGGCCTGACTCATGATATTTGAACACTTCAAGGTAGGCAGTACAATTCACAATTTAAGTTGTCTCAGTTATCTGTGTACCAGTTTTTTTGCCCTAATTGGACAGTTCCATCCCTCCACAATATTGTATGTATTAATGGTGTGTGTGTGAATCCTCACTATCTCAGCGTAGTAATGCTCAACGCGGGGGCTTGTCCAAGCAAGGACAGTGGGTCTCTTATCTAGCTTCAGCTCAAGTCATCAAGTCACAGCTAAGCTCTACTGCTCCGGCTAAAGCTCTACTGCTCCGGCTAAATGCCTTCAGTTTTTCTAGCTGCTTAGGAATGCTCCTGAAATGTAGAGTTTTGCTTTCACCTCACCTGCTTTTGCGGGCATCACTTCTGTGACTCACCTTAGGTTGACCAGTGATAAATAAAATGTTAGCTCACATTGCTATCTATTGACTAATCAAGCTGGTTGAATACCAGGAGTTTTGATATTCTTATTGGTCCTGAAACAATAGCATCAATCTTCATTTTCATTGAGTTGTGGGAAGCCCCAAGAATCCTTCCATTCTGAAAAAGTTGCTTTAGTTTCATGGGCTTCCATTCCGATAATCATTAAGAGCTGCTGTAGTGATTGGGCTACAGATCTATTGCTGTTCTTATGGATGTTACCAATATTACAGAACACATACTATGTGATGTTATATTTAATCTATTTTAACATAGTATTAAAAACAAAATATGTGATTAGATACTTTGATAGAGACCCTCTTAAACTGATCATTACTAGCTACAGCAGAGACGCTAAATATTCCTAGACTGAAACAAATGCTATATTTGTAATTGGGTGATAAGTATTACAGTTAAGCGGTCAAGGGGACTTGTCATGTTTGCCTTTCGATCTCAGATAAAATTTCCTGCAAGAAACCAGAAACTAGATCAAAATTACTCTTGATAGCTGAAAATGAACATAATGTGTCAATGTAAAGCTATTTGAAAAAAGCAATCCTTCATGGATGCTACTACAGGGGTTGGGTGGGAACTCTTACTGTTGTGGAAACATCCAAATGCATAAAACCATTCTGCTTTCTATATGATGTACTCAAAATTAAACCCATTGTAAAAATATCTAAATATAAAGGGACACAGTTGGAATTTAATATATAGAAAGATTTAAAAAATGCGAATTCCAGTATACTTGCATGTATATAGGGGGAAACTAAATTCAGTGGCATCAGGATTTCACATTATGCTAAACTTAGATTTGGAATGTGAAGTTTTCAGTTAGTGCTGGATGATTTATAAGTGATACTATTTAATTTTAAAAAATTGTGCATTTCAAATTTTAAATCCCTATGAAACAGATGGGAGCAGAGATTCAGAAGTTATTGAATAAGTGATGGCATGGGAATTAATTACCAAAACAGACATTTTTTTGTCCCTAAGTAGATGAATAACTTAAAATTTATGGTGGATATTGTGAACCAGTTTCAAAAGTGATGATCTTTGAAAGCTTCATTTTGACAGGGGGACACAGCTTTTGGGGTAATTTATGCAGCCTTGCTGATATGACACAGAAGTACAATTATCCATTTATGGGACTTCGTTCTGAATAAGCAAAAATATATATAACTAAAAAGACCTTTTCTGATGATGATATGCTGAAAAGAATGAACTGTGCTTAAGTATGAATAGTTGGTGTAGGGACAGCATCCTTTATCCTTCAACCATTTGACCCAAAGAAAATCTCCAGAGTCCACTGTAAATGTCAACGTTATATGTTTTATTTTTTAATCAAGTAATTTATTTAAACCTCACAATATCCATGATTGACAGAAATAAAAAGACATTAGACAATGAAATGAGAATATAAAATACATGATATGTAGAAAGGCAATCAGTGCTTTAGTCCATTAAGAAGACAGTAAACAGGTGAAATGATCTTCAAAACTTCAACTCACTGTCTTAAAAAAAAAAATACAATTCAAGTGATTTTTATTTCACCTTGTAAACAACATCCAAGTCAAAATGGACAATGAGGTAATCTATACTACAGAGGATAATTTAAAACCACTAGATAAGACACAGTATTAAAGACATAGAAATCAGTGTTCACTTTGGTCTCTAGTATGGTTATTGTTGTTATTACCATGAGCAACGCATACTAGTTAAACCCAGTCTGGCGATGTTTGTCAACCAGTTGTTGCTTAAATAGTAATCCAAGAGGTAGTCAAGACCATCATCCTTTTAAAAGCTAGTTACTCTGACATTTGGTTTACTGACAGTGGTAGTAAATATCCTGGGACTTTCCAATATTCTCATAAAAATTCTACCAGAGTCATTTAATTGCAGCCCTGTTTAAGTATAAAACAGAAATGTGTGTTCATAGATCAACCTCACCAGTCAACAATTATGACAGAGGTAACACAACCAACATATCTTAAAGAGGCTGTTGATAGTAACCAAAATAAGGTCTGATGCATTTAACAAGGCTTTGCTTGTCTCTAAAACAAATAATCAAATCTCATTAAGATACCTAGAAAATTAAAATTAGTGCATCTGCACATGTACAAAGCTTTCCCAATTACTTTTAAATCCAGCACAGGGGAATACACATATATATTTTTATGATAAACATTTTCTTACAGATAAATTAATTTAAATTAATTTTAAGACTTAATGAGATTTCCCATGCCCTTTTATAATTCTTCTTACAAAGAATGTTACAGGATCTATAAACACTTTTATGGGGCTCTATTCACAAAACTAAGTATATAACTAAGCAGTAACTCTCGGATAGCACTGGTGCAAAATAAAATTGAGCCAAAAAAGGGGAAGGCATGAGGATTAAAACATACTACATTTGGCAGTCCCCAAAAGCTGATTAAAAGCAGAACATTTTGGAGGCTAAAGATGCCAAATTCGACAACAACTACAACAAAAATGCCCACTTGATTTTCCCCGGCCAAAATAGGCTCTATTTTTTAAAAAATAGTTTAATCTTTTCAGTATGCAAGTGTGCACCTTGTTTTAGCTTTTATTGGAGGACAAAAAAATCATCCCACAATGTCTTCTGAGAGGAGATCAAATCCAGTATCTTATTTTGGATGGAGGAGGAGATGCAGAAGGAGAGAAATTCCCCATGTTTTAAATTTCATCTCCGGTAGTGTGGGGAAGCTAGGAGTACAGCCCTTTCAGAAACTATTTTAATACAATTATGTGGACTGGTTCCATTGTGAGGTGTTCTGGCACATGTAGTCAGGGAAATGGGAATCAAGGCTGCTCCTATAATGGGCTCTTAAATGGAGAATACTCTACACTTCATCATCAAAAGTGAAGGAACAGTGGGAGGACCCCAAAACATGGATCTGTATAGGATTCCCAAGGACCCATAAATCTCCTTCTCTTATTCATTTGAAGCAGCTTATTTAATCTGAGTAATTGAGGATGAAAACCAGACTTCCTATTGCAATCCAGTGCTAATTAGTTACTTATCACAGCTCTGCAGTTCTGTAGTTAGCTTTAGTGTCTGTGTTTTGTTTTTTGTGAACAGTGCCCACAATCTTTTTGATGAAAAAACAATATATAAACTGTAAAGAACTGTTTGGAGACTTTTCACAATTTCAAATGGATGCTTCATTTTAAACAAGTATTTGCTCTAAAGTACGCAGTGGTGAATTACCAATTTACATATATAGTACAGCAGCACAAAGGTGTGTTTATGCGGTAAGTATGAGGTAGCCTTTTGCTGTAAACAGAATAATAATTTTATTGTTACCTATGTAAACGAAGTGGGCTTGATACTTTTTTTTTCAGAAGGTCTGAGCACCTAGGACTGCCATTGGAAATCAATGGGAGCTGCAGCTGCTCACCGTATCTGAAAATCAGACCCTGTGAATGTAAAGTCACACATATTCACATAAGCAACCAGTACAGGAATACTGCTTTATCGCTTATTTTCACAGGAAATCATAATACAAAAAGTTGATATCTGATTATAAGAAACGTAGGTGTATGTCAACTCAGAGGTAGTTATTATTGTCAGTATACAACACTTATATAGAGATATAAAGGTCTAAGTCTATTTGGTTTTGTTCTGAGTAAGCAGGCCTGTAGACTATTCTGTAAAGAAAAAAACAACATTACATGGTATATTCCCTGAGCAAAGTTCTTTGTCCTGAGTATGCTATGTAATAGTGATCACATTCTAATATACAAAAATAAAACCTAAGCTTTCAATAATAAGATAGGTTTGGTATGTGCTCTTAGCAGTTCAGTCTGGTTTTGGTGCACAAAACTCTTTCAAACTGCACCAGGAAGGTCTGTATGTCAGGATTACTTATTTCCTAATGATCTCAGCTCTGAACTTTTTATATGTAAACAGGGAATGACCAACTTTCAAATCCACAATGGCCTATTTCTATAAGGAACTTTGGTTTAAATTTTCAAAGTGACCTAAGTTTTGCATCTTTGCTCTTTAATCTGGTTATTACACCTGCTAGAAGGTTAAGCAATGCCACTTTGATTTGTCTACATAATTTAAATAAGTTTACAATCCTCACGTAAGGCAAGGAAGTACTTCTCTAGAGGTACATCACATTCAATATCGTCAAAGGTAAGCTTTGCATTACAGCATACTGAGAACGTCAGTAGAAACCATTGAGATTCTCACAAACACTGTCATGGAATTCAAGCAAAGTTCATCTGCAGGACTCCTGCCCTTCATGGAGGCAGCTGATCTGTATCTATTTACTGCAGCAGCAGCAGCAGCTACAGTAAAAGTTTCATGTGGCAAGACAATTTGGGGAGGGAGGCCTTGCCATATAATGGGCCCGATGCACTGCTGGTGTAAGGCCACTGCAGCCAATGGCATTACAACAGATATGAATTTGGCCTTTTCAGACATGCTATAGTTCTTTTTTGATTATCTGAGCTTAAACCTACCTTCCTGTCTCAATTTTTGTAACAGCCTATGTTTATTGCCAGTGTTAAGGATTATACAGGTTTCTCCAAAGAAATTACATCTGCAATGGGATGATTAGGACATTTTCTTAGGTATAATTTGTTAATTTACCAATTGCAAATGGACCAGGTTAAGGATGGCCAAAGTGTAGCCATGGGTTGGTTAAAGTGCAGCCCAGTGAGTTTTAGAATGGGGCTTGCAGACACGTTCTTCAGTGCAGAGGAGCAGTCCCAGCATGCACTGAGCCAAGGCTGGTCTGCAGTCTTCTCCATTTCATGGAAAGCAGATGGAGTCCTAGGGCTTCTGGCAAGTCTCGCACTGTTTGCATGTCCCTGCTCTAAGGCCTCTCTGCGTCAACTGTGTATGTTCTTCACTCAGTACTGTACTTTTACTATATGAATAGCAGGGGATGCTGATGAACTGTAAGTGCCCATATAGTTTTATTCTCCACCAAGGCTGTACCCCAATATGTCACTAACTTTGTATTTCTTCTTCCTTTATCTTAAAAAACCCTAGGGAGTTCTCTCCAAGACTTTCAGTAGTAAACAAGGCGGAAATCCCCTTGATCTATACACTGACTCAGGGGGACAAATTGGGACCAAGGGAAGCAGCTGCTGCCACCACCCCTGTCCCCACCCCCGTCAAGATTTTCACAAAACTCAAAGGGGGCAGACAGGGTGGTAGCTTGATACCACTCAAACCAATCAGTTCAGAACAACTGACACATTCTCCCTGACACAATGGTCACCTAACTTAAAATTAAACCATATTCATTTAACATAACATTTGAGATCTCAGCACAGAAACTACACATTCATTGTCTTTTCTGGAGTCTACTCCTGAACAAAGATTGTGGCAACAGAGCCATACTTAATCAAGGCATGCCCTTGACAGGTGTGTGGAGAAAAAAACAGCATTGCTACACTTTGGGCATCAAGAACAAAATATCTACCCAAAATAGAGAGTTAGGGGAATGTCTTAGTATTCTTAGTACCATATCATTGGTAGCTTGGAGAGGTGAAGTATCCTTTGGTTCACACAAAAGTAACAGTCATGATCTTAACTGGTTTTTTAAAGCATGTTTCAAGATTGCTGCCAGGAATGAGTATCCAAAAACATTCTGAACCATGACTATTGCTTCACAATGGATGATGTATCCTGGGAAATGGAGAATGTTCTGCTGGTGTGTGTATGTATACATATACAGAGATAGAGATAGTGATTATAGATATGTATACATACAGACAGAAAGACATGATAGAGACACATGCACTCGTGCACACCCACCCACACAGGCAGTAAAACACAAGACACCCTGCTCAAATGTAATTTGCTTGGAGTGATTTGTCTATTAAAAAAAATAAATTCACAGTTCCTCAACAGTAGTTAAAATTTCAGGTCAGCTACTGATAGTGAAATTACTTCCCCTGTTCTTGCATGAGGTAGACATTCCAAGAGGGTAAAGAAAATGAAAGGTTACGACAAAGCTCTAAGTTTTTTTCCTTTTTTGAACAGAAGGCCCCTTTCTGCTTTGTTCTTCAGGTGATGCAGATAACTTACTGGAGGAAGCTTCTTGTGGTGACCTGCCTGAACGTTCTAAGATCTCTGACCTTCCCTCTTGAGAATATGATGGAGATGAATGGCCATAAGCCCCTCCCCCTTCTCTCAGGAAAGCAGAAGTGGAAGGCTGTGGTTCTGCTTCATATCTTCCCTGAGAACTAGTGGGCTGTTGTGAAACAGTTTTATGAGGGCAGTTAGCCACCATGTGCATGATGCTCTGACAGTAATGGCACTTCTTTGGCTGTGGAGGTAGACTACATTCCTTAGCATGATGATCAAGGCCACCACAGTTGTAGCATCTACAAATGAAAAAGAGAGTCCGTTATAAAATACGTCAATAAAAATATTCTTCAAAACATTAAAGAAAGAACGAGGAAGAACCAAATCTTAAGATATGTAAACAATTTTTAATTTCATGTGAAGACACACAGCTCATTTGTAAAACAGTGGGAGTTTCCACTCAATATTTTATAGTATTTATTTTCTGGTTGTAAGGATTTAAGGTGAGATTTTTTTCAGAAGTTTCTCAGTGATTTAGCAGCACAAGTTCCACTGAAAGGGAATAGGACTTGTGTTCCTCAATCACTTAGGTACTATGAAAATCTCATCCTCATTTAGGCCAGATTCCGCCACCTTCATTCATACTGATGAGTATCTTCCGCCACAAACACTTTGGTATCACTCACACAGAATCTGGCCCTTACTTAGAGTCTGATTCAAAGCCCACTGAAGTCAATGGGAGTCTATCTACTGACTGTAATAGATCAAGTCCTAAGGCCAGATTTTCAAAGGTATTTAGGTGCCTAAAGATGCATTTATTAGCTTTAAAAACATGGCCTAGGGACACCAGAGGTGAAACTGTGAGGGCTTTTTAGTGTGAGACCCAACAGTCACCGACGCTGTGTGCAAATACATTAGAAAAATATATGAAGGGAATAATAATGACTTTATGTACCCCTCAGTGGTAACAAAAGTTAAAGTCCAGAATCAAAAATAAGCTTTATAGTTTATTAAACTGTAAAAATGTATGTTTGGACTCTGCCAAAATGTACCAGTTGTATTTCTCTGCAATAAATAATCTCAGAGAATGTGCTTGGGCTGATAACATTAGAATGGTCCACTAGAGGGCACCAAATATTCAAACATGTGCCCACAATAAAGTCTGTAGCTCATGTAATGTAGATTAAATATCTTTACTTGAATATTTGCAGCAATAAACTGTTTGAGTGCTAGTGTGTTTAATTTGGGTTAATGACTGAAGGTGTGGTTGCAAAAAAATCAGGCTATGATTGCCTACAAGTGCATCCTCACTAATTAGTGCTGTTTGTGCCATATTAGCTACAAGGTAGAAAAGAATCCTCCATTAAAAGTTGAATGATATGGTGAAATTTGATAAGAAAGAAGTTCATGTTCTTTGATAAACAGTCTCACAGTTTACCCAACCCTTCCAAAGGTATACACCACCTTAAAAACTGTATGGCATCCAAATTAGTCAAATCCAACAGAGCAAAGGGGAAGTTATGATGATAATAGCTAGATCATTTCCCCCACCAGGTAATGGGAAGGAAATCTCTGCAAGGATCCCTTTGAAGAAGAGTTCCTCCCTGATTCTTTCCTCTGTGGGGCAGAGAAGAGGAATTCAACCTCCCATGATCCAGGAGGTTTATAGGAGGCAGTTCTGGAGCCCGGGGGTTCTCCCCACTGCCCTCTGTTGCATGACTTCAGTGAACTCTCCTGCCCCAGGCTGCCCCCTGTACCGCCCTTAAAGGGATGTTCTCTCACCATAGAGGAGGTTCTGTAGGAAAAGTTATACAATCCTGTGCTGTGTTACCTTTCTCAGTAATATCTGCATGGATTAGTAGGTAGGGGGAATGATGTGTCCCCAGCCCCAGCTCACCCACCAGATCCCAACAGTGCTGCAAGGGGATGAGTGGGAATGGCGTCATGGACCCAGCAGCCTGAGTGGAAGGTCCTCTCCATGCCTGGATCATTGGGACATAGTAAGAGGGAGATGGTGGCCAGGAGGAAGCTATTGGCAATACCTATTGCTAAGAGGTTGCAGCATGGTTCTGAAAATATAACAGTGAGCATCGTAAAATGGGTTTATTGTTTTCTTCCTTGGAAACCCAGAATTCAACACAACTAAATTTAAGTCTTCCAAAAACAAGTAGACAAACTCCAGAATGTTCAACTATTACATGGCTTTAACCTTTAAAACAGTCATGCCAATGATTAAACACACAGCCAGAATGTAAATACTTTACTGGTAATCTTGTTAACTAAGGGCTCAATCCTGCAGTCCTCAAGAAATACCTCACTGAATGATCCTTATTTATATGACAGGCTCCATTTATGATTTCTTTAAATGAGCACAGTATACATTTTTGTACTATTTGCTAAAAAGAAAATAATTGCATGAACTGTTAAATCATGCACAGAATGCAGGTCTGTGAAGATAATTTCTTTGACGTAATAGGACCATCATGTTACATTCATCTTGACTTTTGTATAGATATTTGCTGTGTTTCTATAATTAGCATTATACATCTTATACATGCATAAATTTAATTCATTGTTTACCATTTTGCTGAGGAAAGTGACACCAAATCACATGATGTGATTTCCATGCTTAACTTACAAACCTGTTAAACAAGGGAAATTCTGCTTACATAGACCTGCTTCAAAGCCCACTGGAGTCACTACGAACTTTTCCATGGATTTCAGTGGGCTTTCGATCTAACTCGTGGTTAGATATTTAAAACTGCAGATCACTGGAAAATTGCAGTTGTAGCCAGAACCCTGCAATCACTTGTGAACATATTTAACTTTGTGACTGCTGTGTTCGTCTACTTGCATGCCCAAACTGAAGCATGGATGTGTGCATGTTTGCCTTAGCTTGTGAAATAGATTTCAGTTTTGGAAGAAAAATTGCTAAAAATAGTATAAAGTTTATACCAGCCTTGAAAAATTGCCATTAATATTTCCAGGCAAGGAGGGGGAACCCTTTCCCTCTAACAACTCTTGCCTACCCATTAGCATGATCCAAAAAATTCTTTGCCTTGGCCAAGCTGAATTTTGCAAGGGCAATTTATAATTTGAATAAGTAAAATGATACATAGAATTCCAATGATTTTTTACAAATCCTTGCATAGAATGTTTTAATGACATCAGCTGTGCCCAATTTTTAAAAGTGTAACCAAAAAAAAAAAAAACAAAAAAACCAAACCCGCTAAAATGAGTCTTTAAGTGGCTTCAGATGAACTGCTAACATTTTTAAATATTCAGTATACATCTGTTTTTTGTGTAATCGGCCAGTAGGATGGAAGAACTGTTTCTCAAACTGAGTCTGTTTGCATGTATTGTAAACTGACCCAGCAATCTTAATTACCCTCTGCAGTTGAAAGGAAAAAAAGAAAATAGGCAGGGTTTTACAAACCACAGTCATCTAGCATTTATTTCCCCAATATTTCAGCCAAGTTAAATAAAATGTTAGATACTTCACACCCATCCTATTCTCTAAGACCAAAATGATAGATATTTCTTATGTTTAGTAAAAATGTTTTCATTGTACATTGTACATTGTAACATTGTACATTGGTTTCCTTTCCCTCAGTCACTGAAGCTATTGCAAAACAAATGACCAAATTAACGTCTCTTACTGGTATATAGCTATGTTTGTCAGATAAGATCTCTCCAGAACCACTAGATAAAACAGTAAGAGTGACAACTGAAAAATAATGGCAATGATTCCTTCCCTTAGCCTTCCTCCCCCAAAGTTCTAGAAAGATACTAAAAAATAAGGGGGGGTGTTATGATTTAAATTTGATATTAAAGAATGGCATTTTCTTGCTTTCTTTCTATATAGTATAAGATATGTATTTATTCTGTGACTTCTTATCTATGTGTTAGTAAGGATTGTAATCCACTTTGGGAATGATATATCTGACCTTAATTCTGGAGAGAATTTTATAGCTGTAAATTTAACTTATTTTCACTTCCTTCCTTTAGGATCACATTCATCCAGAAGCTTCCTTTCTCTCTCTCTCTTTTAAAAGAGTTCGAAAATAGGTTAAAGGGCCTCAGTAATAGAGTAGGCTGCAGCCACGGACAAATCAATTTAATCAGTCACTATGGTATGCACTGTGTTATCCAATTCAGTGAACCATTTCGCCTCACCAATTGACCAAAAACCTGCTGTCAGGGCCCCCACTTCCACTCCAGGGGCCTCAATCAGCTTTTGCATCTATATTTATCATTACATCCTGCTTTCAAAATAGTTTAATCCCCCCCAGTTTACTTAAATTTCTAGTAGCGTTTTTTGTTGCCCTTGTTTTAATAAAAGCTATTATAATTAAACTGTAATTTGGCTTTTCAGCCATGTTTTTGTCACCAAGCAAGTCAGTCTACTGGTTGAAGTGTTGCATTAAATTGTGTATGTGCCTGTTCATGTGTGCCTGGACTTAAACAGGAGGGTGGTATTTATTCAGTTCTTCTGACTATTTATTCGTTCCTTGTCAATCACTCTTACCAGCAAGACAGCTCACACCCCACTCTGAAATGCTTTCGTTCTCATGGGATTGACACCAAAATGGAAATGGTCAGCCACCTCGGAGCACACAAATGATACCACATGGTATCATTCATGCACATTGAAATGTGGTATTAACCCTTTTGTTCTAGCTGAGAATTCAAAATACAAACTGTTTGTAATTGCTAATGTGTCAGCTGTATCTTCTTACCTTACACCACAATGAAATGAAACCTAATACATTATGATACACAGGCACAGGCTGATCTATGTATGGATTTGTATATTCTTGTGTACACACTGTACACATAAATATACAAAACAATAGACAGGCAAGCTTATACAAAGGAAAATTAAGCAAGTGCACATTTGAACATGCACACATAATCCAAACCAATAACACTGGAATAAATGATTATCCAAAATAAAAATACCACTGAAACATGGTGATTTATCTCAGCATCTTAAAATAAAGTTAAAATAAAACAAACTACTATACATCACATGATGTTTAGGTCAACATAAAGTCTAAAGCACAGCAAAAACATGTATGAGCAACTCCTGATTCTGTTTCTTGGAAACGATCTGCTATAAAAGGAACAGCCCTTCATAGTCTTAATAGGCTCTGATAATTTATTAGGTGACTGCATGCTCAAAACCTAACGCAACATGAAATACAGATAAAGAGATGACAATTATCCTAAATGGGAACACTGCCTCAGTACAGTTAGCTGAGTAAGGGAGGTAGATTAAGACTGCTTCTGAGACACG